GGTCTGCTCCTTTGGTGGTCCCACCTGACAGATACAGAGCACAGCATGGCTTTGCTCCAACTAATTGCCAACAGTTGGCTGAAGCTACATTTGTTACTCAAAAAGCCTCATTAATCTCCTAAAGCCAGTGTAGCCACGGCTGCTAATGGTGCCTCACCTCCCGACACCCAGTCCCCTGGGGCTCCCAGGCTCCTTCCCCCAGCATAACACTGGGACACCACTCCCTTCTCAGAAGGCTAAGCTAGTGCCCTGGGACATGGAGCAGGCTGACCTAGAACCTGGTTCATCCCTGCCTCTGGCTGGAGTGATCCTAGCAGGCCTGGCCTAATTCAAGGTCCCCCCATGGGTCACAGGGCCTTGGAACGATTCCGGTGCATGTAAGAATGGATTACAGTGACACCATGTGGCCGTTATCTGGCACCTCGTGGGTGAGCTGAGCTGCCCTCTCACAGCCACATTACAGAATCTGTCCCCTCTTCTCCTGGGTACAGGGATGAGCTCTACCTGGGAAAACCTTGCAGGATGTTTGGAGACATGAAAGCGGTGCGTTTTAGAAAGCTCATGATGAAGAACTTGCAAAGAACTTAGGAGCTTCTGGCCAAGGTTTGCCAAAATTTTAAGGCTCACATTTTTATTTATCATACGGCTCAGAGAACATGATATAAATGTTCTCCTGCCTTTTTCCTCCAAGTTCTGCCTCTCTGGCTTTATCTTCCCAAGACTATAAATCCTGAAGGGATGGGATCTAGAATGTCTTTCACACCTACCCCCTGCTCCCCGGTACCTGACCCTGCTGAGCCATCAGCCATCTACTCAGACACAGGGTAACAGAGGGAGGAGGGAGGGGAAGAGAGAGGAAAGGGGAGACAAGACGGGGAAGGCGGGGAACAAGTGAGGACGGGGTCTGGTTGGGGGCTCGTCCCAGAACAGCAAGAACATGCTGGACCTGAAGAATAACACACTTGATGAAGACTGATGTCACTGCACACACCCAGTGGCCGCGGGGCTGGGCCAGATGGGGGAGCCCCCCACTAACTGTAGGGTGGGGATGGTGCAGCCCAGCACCCTATCCTGTTTCTTCTTCTAACATTTCAATATGAAATTTTTCAGACACAAATTTTAAAGAATTATACAGGAAATGCTAGTTGTCTAATGTAAATGGTGGGTATGGAGATGTGCACCTTTTTTTTTTCTCCTGTTTTTTGTCCTTCCAACGGCCCAGAGCCTCTGGCCCCCGCCAATCCCATCGGTGTTGCCAAAGGGGATGTGAGTTTTCCTTCCAGCACGAATCCAAGTAGTGCTTAAGACAATACTGCCCTCTGCTGACCACAGGCTGTCACTTCTCTAGGACAGCTCTGCCTCGCAAAGGGCTCAGGAAAGGACAGGTCAGCTTGTTCCTAACCAGCACTTCGCTCTGTCCCTCCTGCATCTGCTCTCTGCCAAGGTGCACCCTTACTGCTGTGGGCACCAGGAGCGGATCCCGCTAAGCTCAGACAACTAACCAGTGTGTTGCGCCAGCCCTTGTCTTTGTATCTTCATTTTTCTACAACCACTTACTGAGTATCTGCTTTTGTGACTCATAGAGCGTGTAGTGCAAAGCTATGTCTCTAAGCTGTGGAAAAATAACTAGACCACCGGAGCCTCACTTTCCTCTTCAGTGAAATGGGCATGATCAGACTCTCTCTTCCCTGGGGTGAAGAGGAGCTGTAAAGCAGAGTGAGAAGCAATGCAGTAAAAGTGGTTTCAGACACACCTGAAAAGAACTAGAAAGCCTTCACCTTCTTAAAGCAACAGTGAACCACTTCCAGGCCCTTTGCTGACTTCAGGGAAATATCCCTGGGCCCTGATGTCTGATGTGAGCTCTTCTGAGGTACCTGGTGCTTAATAACGCTACCAGCGGAAAAAGTAGAGCAGAATGGACTATCCGAGACGGTGGCCACCTACGCGGGCCAAGTCCCTGTGAAACTGGAGCTGAGAGCAGGACCGCCCCCCAGGCCTTTGTTACCTGTTTCGTTCAGGATAGGATAGCATATTGCTTCTCAGACTTGACCTACATTAGAATCAGCAGGGGTACCTGTTAAAACTGGCACTGCTGGCCCCACCCCTTCAGTAAGGTGGGGGGCTGTGGAGGTGGAGCCCGAGAATTGATATTTCTCACAAAGTTTCAGATATGCTATTATGGTAATGACTCCTGGATCTCAGTAGCTTCATAGCACAAAAGTTTACTTCTTGTTCATGCTCTATATGGAATGAGAGCGCGGCTCTGCCCCCACAGTCTCCGGGGCACCAGGCCGTTAGTGCCCCACCGTCTTACAGCGCATCTCCCAGAACATCTGACCTGCTTAGTTGCTATGACAAAGGGAAGCGAGAAGGGGTCATATCCGGGCTTCTGATGGTCTCAGCCCAGAAGTGAGCACAAGTCATCCACCTTTCATGGACCAGAGCTGCTCACACGGCCCCGCCCCTGTCCCACGGAGAAGTCGGTGTTCTGGAAGGGAAGGTGAACCAGACACGGGCGGCACTTGTCCTGTCTGCCACACCACCCAGCGTGTCTCTCTTCACTCCGAGAACACGTGCAGTCAAATCAGAGTGGAGCGGTGGTTACTGGGGACACGCTTTCAGCCTCTCACGCATCGGTCATAGTGTGATGAGGGCGATGCTGGCGCTGATAGGAAACAACCGCCGAGGGCCTACTGTGCGCCAGGACCTATGCCAAGTGCTTCCTGTATATTAACCCCCCTGTCTCTCACAACATCTCTATATGGTAAGGCACCATTTACATCCCATTTTATAACTGAGGAAACGGAGGCAAAGTGTAGTTATGTAGTTTTCCCAGGTCACACAAACAGTAAGGGACACAGCTGGGACTGTAACCCATCCAGTCGGGCACCTGAGTCTGTGTTCTTAACAGCTGCTCTGCTCCATCGCTGTGTGGCTCATTTTAATTTTAAAGAGAATAGTGAGAAGGTCTGGTTTCTGGATAAGCTCGTAGTCCAGACCTAAATATTCTAAACATAAACACTTCTTCATAGAGCATTCCAATGGGCCTTGCCAGTGGGTTCCAGCCACGGTCATGTTCACTGTGGCTTCAATGAGACCAAGGAATGACCACGGAACATTATCCACACTCCACCTTCCAGGATTCTCGCCTCCCCATCCATGTGCCCTCAGCCCTTGGCAGCGGTCCCTGTGCAAGGAAGCTGCAGCCTTGTAACCAAACCCCTACAGATAACAACACAGGCTATGACAATATACAAATAACAAAAATTACAACAAATTATAATAACCCTCAAGCCTGAGGAGCTCCATTGCCACCAAGCGGTCATAACCCAGCTGTAGTCAAACAAAAGGACCATGGGTGGGCCTGACAACACCCACCTTCTCCAGCTTCTCCAGCACAAAGTCCTGCAGACACACAGGCCCATCTCGTTGCTTTCTCTCTGCCTCTGCTGCGTCCTCAGCAGCCGGAACCGCCGCTCCCGGCTCAGCTGAGCCTGAGACCAGAAGCAGGGCATGGGCGCCCCATGACCTGGGGAGGGGGCTGCGCCTCTCCTGGAAGAGCCCGCGGTTGCCCAGTCCTTCTGGCTTTCCACCAGCTTTAAACCAGGTGGGGTCTCCACCGAGGAGGGGCTGACGCCTGCGGCACCCGCAGGGCCTCCACCCCCACCTGCTGGTCAGACCTCCGCCCCTCCGTTCCTGGGGCTGAGGCTGCACCGCCTCCCTCACCTGCCCCGCGGCACCTGGCAGCCTGCGCTCCCGCTGCTTCTCCAGCCGCTGCTCCTTCTCATGCTGCTTCCCCTCGGGCCACCACGGCATCCTTGACCGTTTCCACAGCACCGCGTAGTGACGCCATTTCAGTCACCAACACATTTTTTACCTCCTCAGCGGCCCCCCGCAGCTCAGGTTCTCAGTGCTGCCTCCCCTCGAGCCTCCTGCAGGAGGAGGTCTTTCTCTCTCACAGCCTTTCTCAATATTGTGAGAAGAAAACTCCCTCCGTTCCCGCGGCCTCACGGGCACTCCGTTTCTCTAAGAAATTCCCTATTTTGCTGAGGGCCAACTTTACTGCCTCAGGTGCTACCTCCACCCCTTCCCAGTCTTGGGGTGGGGCCCAGTCCTCGAGGAGGCAAGCCACATGTCCACTGGGGGACACCTGAATGTCTCCCCGTCCATAGGCCCAGCCCGGTGAGACACTCCCCCCTTGAGGGCAGCCTGTTCTTTCCCTTGGTCAACAGTGAACCCTGACAACATTGGCAGTTGTCTTGCCAATGGGTTTCCCCCCGGGGTAAGTTCACTATGGATTCTATGAGACCAAAGAATGACAATGGAACCTTATCCACACCCATGGTAAGTAGCTCTGTGGATATATAAAGGGGTTGGCTCAAGCCAGATACATTGGAATGGGACTCAGTTCCAACAGAGGGTCTTTCAGGGTCCTCACTGTCCCACAATTGGTAGACAATCAAGAAGGTAGTGTCTGGTCCCCCTAAAGAGCACAACCTTCCTAGTAACGGACCAGAAATCAGGAGGAGAGGACAAGGTATTTCTCAACTTTCTCATAGGATTGCCTCCCAGACCGCACAAGTCCTCCTTAAATGGGGACCCAGGAATCTCAGTTCCCTCCTTTCCCCGTCTGCATCCTCACTTGATCTGGAGAAACGCTTCCGGCTACAGTGACCCCCAGCCCAAGGTCTGAGCCTCTCTGCTCGCTCAACCCTGGTGGGCAAGTGACAGAGTGAAAGGAGGAGACTGTACATCTCAGTGTCACTGAGGCACAGTGCCAATGAGAAGGGACTAAAACAATTCCATGGGTTAAATCATCTGCATGAAAAATGAGCCTTTCTCCCACCGACAGCGATGGGCTCTCAAAACCTCTGCGAGTTATCCTAATAAAAACTGTTCATTTATTCTGTCTTATCAAAGACTCCCCCCACCCATTCCACATGAAATTGGAAAATGAGTCTTGAAAAAATACCGTTGGGAGAAGGAAGAGAAAATCCTACCTGGACACTGGATTCCATGAGTTGGTTTTTCTCCTCATTAGAGGAATGGATAAGACTCAGCTGCAAGAGGGCCCGTGGCTTACCCAAGAATGGCCAGCAGAGGTCGCTCGTCTCTTGCCTGAAAGCTTCAAATTATGAGCTTCAGCTGGGCGTTCTCTGCTTCTATTTCTGGCGGAATGTTAGATCATCAAGAAGGCTCTGTTTACCCCAAAACACAGGATACTCAGTGGCTCCTGTTAGCGCATCAAAGGGAGTCAGTCTTTGGCCTCAAAATGTCGAATTTCTTCCCTGGGGTTTACGATCCTCTCATTTCCTGTTTTTCTTAACAAAAGTTCAACCTCTGCTTGGCAATGATTTTGAAACACTACAGTTTTCAAGGCAGTCTGAAAATACTGGCTGTTTTGTTTATACAGCTATCAAAGATATGTGGTCAGCTATTCCATCCATTTCTCTCCTTTCCTCACCACACACACACACACACACACACACACACTCACTCACTCACTCACTCACTCACTCACTCACTCACTCACTCACTCAACATTCTCAATTTCCACTGACAATTCAAACCTGTATCTGCAGACTGGGATCTGACTAAGAAGACAGATGATCAGTAGTTAACTAAGCACTCAAGTAAGTTATTCTATATTGAAGAGGTCTGTATTGTGAAGGGTCTCCAACCGGTTCAGGGGTGTGCTTAACATTAATCAAGGCACAGTCCCATCAGGTAGTACTAAGGTAATTCTTTCTGATGGAGTCTTTAGGTGGTTAAAAGCATGGAAACATATCTTTCCTTTCTTGCAAGAGTGCCTCTCAGATGGACCAGCAGTGGGAATTGTGCTTCAAAACATGGGCAATAACAGCTCACTTCTCAGCTAATACTCACATGTAAAGCATGTTGCATACACAGCTCCCGGAGGGCACTCCCTGGGGTCTGACTCCACACTGAGAAGGAAAAAATGAAAACATGGAGATTGATGCTTTCACACTGTCAGCAGATCCCCGCCTTGAGAGGGCAGCAAAGGCCGACTTGGGCTCTTTGCTGCTCTCATTCCAGCCGGTGTGCAGCAGAGGCAGGCTGCCCCCGATACTTCCTTAATAGGAGCCCTGCCCAGCTGCACAAGTTTCCTACCCCAGAATTCAGTCCTATCTATCCCATGGAGGTGTATCAGTTTGCTAGGCTGCTGCAGGTTATCCTCAGCAAGAGGATAGCCCCAGCACAATAAAGCCCATGAAGTATGGACCAGCAGGGTGTGTGTAGGGCATTGAGCCAGATCTCTGCTGTGCCATATAGCCTGGATTCACTCCTACAGGTAATGTGAAGCCCCGGGCAGATTTAAATAAGAGTGACCCGGGCAGATTTGCATTACAGATCCATCACTCTAGCAGAGCAGTGAAAACCAGGGATGGGTGAGGGACAAAACTAGAGGAAATAAGACCAATTCAGAGTGGGACTATAATCCAGGCAAGGGATAATTAATTCCTATCATGAAGGAGCAAATTCAAGAAATATTTAGGAAATTCAATCAGCAAGACTTGGAGATTTACTGGACGTGAAGGGTTGAGGGAAGGTGGAGATCCCCCAGTGACTTGGGCTAACACAGGATAAGGGTGGAGGAACAGGGGTGGGGAGCAGAGGCCAGGCTCCACTTCAGCTCTGATCCTTCACACTCCCTACTGCACGTTTCTCACTTCCCACAGAGGTAGTTTTAGACGCGCTGAACTTGAGGGGACTGTGAAACCTCTGGGAGAGGTGTTCATTCCTGCCCTTGAAGAATCTCCACTCCAGTGGAGCAAATAGACCCAGATGATCCACAAATGCCTACGCCCAAGTTCCTATAATTCTACAACCTATTATCTGCAATTTCCAAATCCCCAAACCCCAGGAAATCTGAAAGGTTTTTATAAATGTGAAGTAAGTTCATTAAACAGCACCAACAGAACTGACTTCAGCTCACCACGGGACCCTTGACCTACGGCCTGCGCTGGGCTCTACATAGACACGATGCCTCCCACTGCAGCCACGTGACAAGAAGAGGAGCATTTTCCAGCAGAAAAGGGGTGGGTGTATGTACTCAGAAAGGGCATGAGTGCTGGGCAGACCCCACAGGAGCGATCTGCTCTGCTCATAAGATGCCCCCATGCTGTCAAGATCACATTATTCTGTCAATTCTATAGATGGAGAAACTGAGGCTCAGATGGGTCCGAAGCCATTCTACAAGGACCCAAATCCAGAAGGAAACCCTCTTCTATAAGATGAGAATTTGCAAAGGGGACTAGAACCTGAGCTGTCTTTATTCTAAGACTTAAGATAAATTGACTTTTCCACCTCCTTTCTGGTTGCTTTCGTGTTGGTTAAACACCGCCCACAGACGTGAGCTCTGACCTACCCCTTCCCAGTCTCTGGGTCAGCAGCGAAATCTCTCCCAAGAGCCTTGCCCTGGAGTGAGCAACTGTGATGCTCTGCATGGGAGGAGGAAAGCCACAGGACAGCTCTTGAATTTAAAAACTGAAAGGAGGCTCTGTGGAACACGTAGACAGGTAGTGTGTGCGTGGGTGGTGCATCTGTGTCTCTGCAAGTTTTGCTTCCACATGTTGTGCACAAATGTCTAGTATCTGATAGCTGCGCAAGGCTGAGCCTCCTAAGACTTCATCAGATGTGCGAGTGCCGCTCTGGGTCAGAAGGCTGGGTATCTATGCCTATGTTCCCTTAGTGAAGAAAAGAGGACAAAGCAATGGTCTTGGAATCTGACTTGGACTCAGGACATTTTTAGTCCTCCAATTGCAATGGAGGCCCCTTCAACCCTGGGTCCCCAGCTGCAGACTCAACCCCATGCCAGGCTTGGACAGCAGGACCATCTTCTAGTAAGGAGCCACAAAGGCCATTTTGTCAGTGTTCCTAAGACTCAGTCACCATCCAGCCTTCCTCAGGGCCACTGCTCAACTCTGTGACCTGTTTCTACAACCAAGCCTCCTCCCTGAACCCCATGTCCAACCTAAATTCCTGAGCTGGACCCCTGCCTTAAAATTCCATCCGGAGCCCAGTTCCTCTAGGACAAGGGCACTTTCTTGCTCCTGTGTCCACTCCCACCTCGGGTTTGGAATCTCATCCTGAAATCTCCCACCACATTTCATCCCCAGGCTACCTGCCCACCTGCCTTCCTGAATCCTATTATGATTGTTGAATGAATAAACTACGAGTTGTTCTATTCTAAGCACTTAAAGATATAGTATCTACTCTAAGGGCTCAAGATTTAGTGAAATAAATTAATAATTTAAATTTTTGAATATAATGAAAGAATGAATAAAGTATTGTCAAATGCTGTGGAAGAGAATTATTTTGTCACAGGAGATGTCATAGAGGAGATAAGATGCAAGCTGTTCTTGAAACCCAGTAATCTTCTCATCAAAAAAGGAGAGGACATGGTAATGTAAATTGGTGCAACTGCTGTGGGAAGCAGTATGGAGCTTCCTCAAAAAACTAAAAATAGAGGTACCATCTGACCCAGTAATTCCACTCCTAGGAATTCACCCAAAAAAAAATAAAATCCCTGATACGAAAAGATACATGCACCCCTATGTTTATAGCCACACTATTTGCAATAGCCAAGATATGGAAGCAACTTAAGTGTCCATCAATGAATGAATGAATAAAGAAGCGGTACATATACACAATAAAATATTATTCAGCCATAAAAAGAAAAGAAATCCTGACATTTACAACAACATGGATGGATCTAGAGGGTATTATGCTCAGTGAAATAAAACAGGTGGAGAAAGACAAATACCATATGAATTCACCTATTTGTGGAATATAAAAGCAAAGCAAAACAGAAGGAATGAAACAGCAGTAGACTCATAGACAACAAGGAGGGACTAGTGGTTACCATCAGGGAGGGATTGGGGCAGTGTGGGGTGGGGAGGAAGGGGGATAAAGGGGCACAATAATTTGCAATCACAACATAAGTGGATCATGGGGACTGTTGTACCACTGTGATGTACATTTGAAGCCAACATAAGATTGTATACTAACAATACTTTAGTAAAAAATAATAGTGAAAAAGCAAAGGCAAGGACACTCCAGGAAGAGGAAATAGTCATGCAAAGGCACATGGCATGACCACTTCAGAACACTGCCTTCTCCTGGACTCCCCACTGCTGTCCTCTGCCTGCATACAGTGATGTTCCCATTACCCTTTGCGGGAACTACAGGATGTGATGATTTGCTAGACATACCAGCCACTGCCCATCCACCCTCTCCCAGGGCAGAGCTCCAGCCCTTCCCCAACCCTTCCATTCTCAGATGGTCACAAGTTATGACAAGGCCAGACTTAGTGTACAGAGAAATGTCCAAAATGATAGGCAGGGCCTTGTTACAAGCTGACACTTGCAAAGCTACCTAGGGTTATAAAAAGAACAGGGTCTGTCTTTAGGCCTGCTTTTTCCTTCTGTCCCTGAATCTGCTACGCCCTAGTCCAAGAGGAGAGAAGAAATGACTCCTTCCCCTCTGTCTCCCACACCCCATCTTGTAGGCCTGACCCCAAACATGACCCTTTGGGGGCTAATCTAGGTCCCCTAGACCCCAGGATCAATCAGGAGCTTTCTAGTGTTACCGGGTGCACGGGCCTTGCTCCCACTGCAGAAGAGAATCCCTTGTCCCCTTGGAAATCCTGTGGTCTGCTTGCTTCCCCAAGGCTCCGGAAAGCCTGGGCCGACCACTTCCTCTCTGCTGCCTCCTACCTGTGGGGGAGGTAGAAATGCTGAAAGTTGAGATCAAAATAATCCGTAACGGGAGTGTCAATGCCAGCCTGCTCCCCGCCCCCACGGCTCTGACTTGCCTCCAATCCTGAGTGCGGGCACTCGCCTGGGACTGGGTGTACCGTGTCTGTCCCCGTTGCACTGCACACAGAAGGGGCCATTGTTCTCAGCCCGCAGCCGCCCGGGAGGCAGCAAGCCTGCACTGTCTCCCTCCACAAGCTTCTTTCAATCCATCTGCAAAGGTCAAATCTGGCCCATAGCACTGGGAACCGTCAGACAAGAGACCTTGCGTCTAAATCAAGCAATCATTTCCTTCCTCGGGAGAAAATGATCTCTGCTGGCTTCTACTTATTGTCAGTTCCATTATTTAAATGCTCCATCTCAGGAACAATAGTGGACTGAGTACACTGAGGTGGCAGCGCACTAACAGCCTCGGGCGTCCTCCTCCTCCTGAAAGCCTAGAAAGGGGGGAAGGGAAAGAGAGGGAGGGGACGACGGGGAAGGGGTTCACCTGCCCATGACACCTGTCGGGGAGGGGTCCTACCGGAAAGCGGGTTTTCTTCTACTTCACCCAGGGGTGCCCAGGGGTGCATGTGTCCCCAGATGCTGTCTAGTCCCCAGTTCCTAGCATTCCAGTTGTTCAAGAGTCTTGGCTGTCATCCCCCCAAACCCATTATGCAGGAAAGGTTTTGTCTTTCGCTGAGCCCCACTCCCCTGCCCCTATGACTAAGTGCATCCGCAGGACATCCAATGGGCTTCCCTGGGTCCCAGAGGGCTCAGGAGCTCAGGACCAGGCCTCTTCCTGTAAAAGACACTTGTTCCAAGAGAGGGGGGGGACCTGTCAGCTCTGCACCTTGGGGTCTTTAGCTGAAACCCCGCTGGATGTGGGAATCCTCTGCCTCAGACAACGCACCCAGTACTCACCTCCCCCGGCCCTGCCTGCTGCCTCCACCCTGCTCTCCATATGGTCCCTGCAGTGTTTCAAACGGAGTCACACCCCCGAAAGGGTCCTCTTCTTCAGTGACTGTTGTTTTCCAAGCACTTCACATACGTCATCTCATGTGTTTCTTAGGGCCCTCTTGTTGAGGGAAGTGTTATTCCCTATGCCCATTTTACTCATGAGAAACAAGCTCAGAAATGTCAAGAAACTTGCCTAGCATCGCCCTGCTAGTAATAAAGTACCCAAAATTCAATCCCAAGTCCGTTCTCTTGTCTGACTCTTAACTTCCTCAGTATGACTCTCAAAGAGGTGTGTAGACATATTACAGAATTTCAGAGTCTATCCAGAAAAGGCATTTCTGAAGGTCATCAGTTCATCCAGTAGGCAAATTCTTCAATAGGGGATCCCTGCAGAATGCCTGCTCTGTGCTGGGCACCCTGGGTCCTTTCAGAGGGAAGTTGGAGGCTCCGTAATCATCTACAGGAAGTTTCCAGAAGGCTGACATCCTGGGGATGACCGGCGTGAGAGCTCCCTCTCCTATAGGGCAGCAGAGGGGGAGGAAGGAGGGGAGAATGTCACCTCAATGCCTGACGCACTGTCCACACCAACAGCAGACACCTGACCAATGCCTGTTAGCTCTTAGAATATCATAGGAAAGAGCAGCAGTCACCACCCATATCAGGGATATGGAAAATTCTGAAGCAAGGCTTTTTGTTTTTGAGGAAGTGTTGGTCAGAAACAGTTCTGCCAAGAGAAAGATCTGTTCTGCCCATGAGCCAGAGGGGTGGCCGCAGGACCAGGTCTGGCAGAACGCTGCCACTAGAGGGCAGTGGTAGCTCACTGTTGGGAGTGAGGGATACGGTCCAGGGCGAGGGTAGGACCTGGGGACGGACACATGGTGTCAACTGAAAATGAACGCAACGTACTTTCCACATTCCATACACATCCTTTCATTTCATTTGACTCTGATAGTAGACCCTTGGGGTAGAGGGACATCATTAGCCCAATTTAACAGATGAGAACAGGAAGATTCTTGAGGTTTAGACTCGTTCTAGGTTGTTTGGCTAATAAAGCTACAGGGACAAATGCCCCTAAACCTCAATCTTGGGCCAAATCCAGGGCCTGTTTTAAACATGGTGATGTGGGCTAAATTCTTTAATGAAACTCCCACCTTCATAATTTTCCCTTTATAGGCAATTCCCATTGTTATTTGTTCATACCTGGAGGGTTAGGAAGAAACAGAAAAAGGAGATTCAAATCAAACTGGACGATCAGGTACTTCGTAAGTAGCCTTGATAAAAGTTTGGATGAGAAAAAAAAAAGTTTGGATGAGGCAAGTGATTCTCATGACTACCCACCCATTGCCCTTGACCGCTGTCTTTCAAGGTCACCACTGGTGACCCTGGAGAGTCGTGAAGGATTCCTCCAGCTGTGGGTACAGAAACATGAGCAGATAATGATGGACACAGAGGAGAAAGGAACTGCAATCATCGCTGAGGACAGAGGCAGGTTCCCACATAAGAACTGAGAGGTCATCAGCTAAAACTCCAAAGCCCAGAGTGATGGGTTTTATCCTGTCCCCCATCTTCTTCCTAGAACGTGGCATATATACCAAGACTGGGCTCACTTGGGAAAGTGACTCAAAGCAACGGATAGAGTTTTTAGCACACAGGTATAGTGAATACCTGAGGATGAGGTAGGTGAAAACTTACTTACCTTGTAGACATCCCACCTGCAAAATCCAAAGCCCCCTGCCTTCCCACCCAGGGTAGAACTAGGTATAACTGAATGTTTGCTGAACCTTGGCAGAGGCTGAGGGGAAGAATAGAAAGATCTGAAGGCAGAGTATAGAGATGGAGGTGTGGTGGTAAAGAGAAGAAAGAAAGTCCAGGTGGAATGGGTTGAAATCTTCCTCCTGGGCGGAGGGCACTTGAGGAAGCAGTCAGTCATCCTGACTGCATGGCCCACCCCTGACATCTGCTCTCTGCAGACTAAAGAATTTCGAAGATGCAAAAAGAACCAGAAGCAATGGACTGTTTTATATATTCTTCTGGAGATTCTGTGTGTGTCTAGGGGCAGCCCCTGGTAAGTCCATCCCCAGTGAACGAAACCCCTTCTCTTTCTGCTACTAATGGTGTCAAACTCGGAGCACACCTTGTTCCTTGTAGGTTTTATTCAGCCCTATAGTTTTACAGAGCTTGTAGAACGCAAATGCCAGGCGTAGAGAGACAACTGAACCAGGATTTCTATCCTTACCTTAGAAAGCTTGTCACTAACAGGCAACCTTGACATGTATTAGACCAATTTCCACCCGGGGAGGGGGCCAGATGCCATAGCAGACATGGGCTTTGGGAGAAGCTTTGGGAGATGCATTTTGCCTCTGGACCCAGGGAACGGCGCTAGGGGAGGAGACTTTTTAAAATCCAGCTCAAATAAAAAGATGAACCTATCTTAGACTACAGGAACAACGTGTCTATTCCTGGAAGTACTAGAAATCTGGTGTCTTATTTTAAAGCAAGTAAGTACTAAACAGCAAGGATTACATTGATTCAAGCTTGTGTGCCAGCCTGTCGCTACAATCCTGCAATCTCCATTCCCTCCCTCCCACCCCCACTCCCTGTGCCCATTCCATTCTCTGTTATTCAGCTCCAAATTGGAAATGCGTTATGAAATGAGTGCTATTGAATCTTCGGTGGCCCCTCTCCTATCTCATTATTTGTCCTGTCCTACTTTCAAGGCCCTGTATGATTTGTTCCTTTTCCAGCTTCACCAGCACATCTGGGGCTTCCCTCCCTTGTTCTCACTGCCCAGCCACAATGCACTCTGTCTGTCATAGGTACGGATCCTTTCCACCTCCACCTTCCCACCCCGCCAGGGGCCTTTGCACCTGCTGTTCTTTTGTTTCTCTGGCTTTTCCTGTAGCGGATTGTTCTTCCTTCTGATCCCAGTTTGAAAGTCACTTCCTCAGAGCTAGGTAATATCGCCCTAACATACACTTTCACAATGGCCTAAACTATTCATAACACAAATACCTAACAAGTGCAACGATCTGTATTTGTTTAAAATCTAACTTCACTGCTAAACATAAGCTTCATTAAAGCAGAGACTGCATCTCTCTTGTTTATTACTGTATGTTCAGAGCCTAGCATATTGCCCAGGGCAGAGTAGGTACCTTCAATGATGGGGTGAGATGTTTGGATTTTATTCTGTAGGTAATGGATCTTTTTCAGATGGAAGCAATATATTTCACTGATATAATTCCAGCATGAATGACAGTTGGGTTGGAGAGAAAATAATAACATATTGACTCCTAATATGGGCCAGTCACTGTTCTAAGAACCTAGCATTCTGTCTCACTCCACCCTACTACTGTATAATGTAAGTTCAGGAATTATCCCATTTACAAATGGGGAATCTGAGACACAGAGAGGTTAAGCCACCTGTCCAAGACCACACATCCAGTTAACAAATGACCTAGGAGTCCAACCTAGGAGTCTTCTCCAGAGCCACTCTTAAACATGCCAGTGGGACACCTCACCCAGGGACCACCCGGAACCTGGCTTATCATAGTAGTACTCAAGAGGGAAGGACAAGGGCCTGGATTAACATGACAGAGATTAACACATAAAAGAGGCAGCATTTACTTACCATCTTTTGTAGGAAAAGAGAATAGGGAATATACTTACATATATTCTTATGCTTATATCCACATGAAATACTGGACAGACAGAGGAGAAACTAATAAAAGTGACTGCCTAGAGAGGGCAGGGAGTGGCTGGGGAGCCGAGTGGGGTGAGACCTCACAATGCATGCCTTTTAATTTAGTTCTGTTTTCTGATCCATATGAAGGTGTTATTTATTCAAAAAACATAAATGATGAAAAATGAAAAACACAATTTAAAAGTTAACTTGAAGGAACGATTGAAAGCGTTTAGTAGCTGATCGGATTTGGAAGGCAACCAAACAGACGACACAGCCAAAGAAAGCATCTGGGTCTCCGACTTGTGTGTTTTGGGCCCGCCGAGCTGGGAAGAGCATTAGGGGAGTGCATCTGGGCCCGCTCACGTTTGTTTGTGGGTGAAGTGGACATCGGGCTGTCGAGGTCAAGGTTGACAACCCAGATGGGGGCTTTGATTTGGGACAATCACCTACCCACGGTAACAGACCCAGTGAATGGATGCTAAGGTCAAGGGGAGAGGAGAGAAGGAAGAAGCAAGAGGGCGGAAGACAGAGGTTCAAGGAACTGCACTGAAGGAGCAGCCGCAGGGCAGCTGAGGTTGGCACTGGGCAGGCCGGGCCAAGGGCGGGACAGAGGGTGAGCAGAGGGGCCAGAGTTTCCGGAAGGAGGAGGATGATCCCCTAGGGCCTAAGGGTTAGGACAGAAGAGGACAGTTGGCTTGGGGATCAGAATGCTGTGCTTCCAGAAACAGAACAGAGGAGACGTACCAGAGGTATTGGGAGAACCACCCAACATGGGGTCCCCCTGCTTCTCTTCTCATTTCATAAGAGACAACTGGACACTGAGGGGTTTCCAGGCTAAAATCCAGCACATTTCAGCAGCTGTAGATATGCTGTTGCTCTGGAAGTTGTCTTTAGACAACACACTCCAGCCACTGAGTGGTTAAAAAGGAAACTGAGATGGACAGTCCTAGGAAGTTTCTCTGATTTTCTGTTATCACCTCATTTAGGCCAATGGAAACCTGTACTATGATATTTTACTTTGGCTTTTTATTTTTCCTCCCTATTTCCATCACATCAATACAACCACATGCACACGCACACATACACACCCACAGGGCATAAAAGGGCCCCTTTGCAAAAGCATTTTTTCTGGATCAGACTCAGGGTTGCTTGGAGGGAGGGAAAGCAGAGCAGGGGGAAAGGAGAGATGCGAGCCACCCTAGCTGCTTTTCCTCCCCTTTAAGGCTGCCTGGTTACGGTCCTGGGAAAGAAAACCCCTGCATTCCTCCCCTTTAATTCAGTTTATTGTTAAAGCACAGGAGCAGCTAATCCTCACAGACCTGTAGGAGCTGGAGTGGGAGCACCGCAAGGTTCTTTCTGAGTCCCTGGGTAAGATGGACCTGCTTCTTTTTTTGGTTTTAAGATGTTTCCTTGCTTAGTGGGAGGTGTGTGGCACCTGCAGAGTAGGTTTAAAGAGCCACTTTTGTGAGCAACTTGGTATTTATTTCAGCCCCAGTCCAGTCTTGCCTGATTCTTATGCATTCAAGGGTAAGTAGGAATAATTAAGTCTGAATGGGGGTATGGGTGGGACCTCCACGGGGAGCCATGTGGCTGTCACTTCAGGGTTGGCTTGAATGGGAACCATTTGGACTTCTGGGCAGGAAACAGGGAGCAAAATATCTGTATATGTTCCTCCTGCAATGCCTGCCCAAGGGCTGCGTTCCCTGGACAGACCTCCAAGCTCTGTGTCTGGGAGGGGCCATCCATCTGCAGGGAGTCAGGACCACCAGCATGCTGGCACCGTCTGCCTTCTGCTCAACCTTCATCTCTTAACCTCTCTGACCCTGTCTGCCAAATGGGGGTGATGCCTGTTTTGTCTACCTGCCTGGGTTGTATGGATTCGGAGAGCCAGTGGGCTGTTGGTAGAGAGCTTGTGGCTCTGCAAACCCAAGGAAGGTGCACCAGCCTCAGTCCCTCCTGGCAGGGTCCATGGGCAGGCTCCAGCTCCCTGTCCCTGGCTGCGTTAGGATGCAGAACTCAGCCTCGCATTGCTGTCAGTCACAGGATCCCTTCTTCACCTTCCCCAGGGGTTCATTTATCTCCTTTCCCTCTTTAAACTTCCCTAGGTCAGTTATCAGGTAAACATGTTAAAAGGAGGTCTGGATTCACCACCAACCCCCATCTGTACCGTGCCCCCTTCTCTCCACGTAACTTTGACGCACAAACATTAACCCTGAGGTTCCCGCAGGCAGCTGCCAGGCTCACGCTGCTCAGGCTGCAGTGCGTGGCAAGCCAGCTGCTTTCTCTGGAGCCAGATAAATTGATCACGAGGAAAAGCTCTGAGAAGGGTCAAAAGAGTCAAGCAGGTTCCGTCTTGGGTAAGATGATCTTTCCCAGATCAGAGGTGGGAGGCAGAGCCCAGACCCTGTCAATCCTACTGACCCAAGCTTACCCAGGGTCAAAGATGAGACCTAAAAGGCCATCCCCCAAAGTGCATAGTAATACCTGATATGGAGACCATACTTCACAGTTTATAGTGTGCTTTTAATTAATCTGTAGGACAAGCCCATTAGGCTAGTGAGGCAAACAGCATTTCTCCCTTAGCATAGATGAAAACACTAAGACTCAAAGAGGCTTGCCTGGGGTCTCAAGGCTGATACCAGTAGTACCATATGATGATGGTAGCATTTGAACCCAAATCCTCTGACATAATCAGTGACCTTTCCATGATACTACAGATAGCTATGGTGTATGGGTGTGCGTGTGTGCGTGTTAAGAGCACTCCTTAGAAAGATGGAGCAAAACTTTGGGTCAGAAGCTTGAGGTTCTAGTGCGAAAAGGCTTGAGCTGGAGACTGAAGAGGCTCGGGGGGACTGATGTCAGGCCCAGCCTCAACGCTGAGAAATCCAAGTGTTCCCAAGATCCAGCCTTTTCCCAGAGCAACCAAGTCACGTGTTCCAGGGGGACTCACTCAGGTGTTGGGATTGAATGAAAGCATCCTCAGGAGGAGGGCAGAAGTGAGATCCCCCACAACCACCTGGAGGGCAGAGCAACAGGTCATACGGTGGGGCGGCAAGAAGTGCTGTTGGCGTCTGATGGACTGGAGCGCCAGCTCTGTCATCTAACTGTGTTTGATTTGGGGCATTTTTCTTAAGATTTCTCCTCATCAGTGCCTTAGCCATGGAGTTGGGGATATTTCCCTCGTAAGGCGGCAGCGAGGCATTAAACGAGACAATGCAGATAAAGTGCCTAGCACAGTGCCCCACCCAGGTGATCAGTCCGCGCAGCGAACTCTGTGAGGCTCAGGAGAAATTCCCACGGGGACTGAAAAGACACCCCTTCCCCCGTAAGAGGAGAGAACCCGCCTCGCTCCCTCTCCCCCATTCACACACGCACACACGCCCAGAAATAAACAGCCACACGGAGTGCGCGCGCCGCAGCCCGCCGAGCCCGCGGATGAATGAGCCTCGGCATGAATGAGAGGGGGAGCGGCCGCCACTGCACCCCGGCAGCGCGCAGGCGCTACAACCGCGCGCGCGCCGCCGCGGTCACCGCCAGGGGCTGGGGCAGAGCAAGGGGGCCCCGGGCTGCGCCGGCTGTCAGCACTGTCACGCCGGAGTCCCCCGACGCCAGGCGGGTAACGCAGATTCCTGCCACAGCGGTTCTGAGCTCAGCCTGCCCTGCCTTCTGTCTGCGCCCCCACCCCAGGGAGAGATCCCTCCTCTGACCCCCCGGGGGACTGGAGAGAATGGCCCTCTGCGGCGGTTTATAGTAAAGAGCCCCCATTTGTACAAAGGCACCTCTTCCAAAGGAGTTAGGTTTCTAGGCGGTGTGTGGCAGACACACAGTCCACTCTGTGACCCTTGAAAACTTAGGAGGACGCCCCTTGGAGACCAGCACATTGCCCGGGAAGAAAAGCAACACACGCGGTGTTTACTAGTGTTGCCACAGATCTCTTTTCTTGGTTGAGTACTAGATGAAATAGCTGCTTTGCATGTCAGGAGCATGATGTATGTAAAATGATACATCCTTAAATACTTGAGGATCACAGTGAGAGATGCTCCCACGACAGGAGGCATGTGGGAGCTGGTTCTGGTCATGTGCTGGCCCCTCTTCAAACTGTTGTTTGTTTCCCTCTCTCTCTGCCCCCAGTGCAGTGTTTAATTCACACGCCTGTCATGTGGACCCCCTGCTTAGCACTTTAACTGCTGCAGAATTCTTCCTGCCCGTTGCTGTATCTGGCCTCCACAGGAATGCTGAGAAATGGGCAGAGCAGAGGTCATTTTCTCATGCAACAGATGAGGAAACTGAGGCCCATGTGGTTAGGAGCACATTAAAAATAAGTAGTACACCTTGCTCTTTCCAATAACTCTTATGTGTCTCCCTCTCAGCCACCTGGAGGATGCCCTTCATTCCCTCCGTTAGAGGCACACAGTCAGCCTTCAGGAACACATGCCTTCAGGCTTACTCTACAGCAGGAGGGATCTGGTTAAGCTTAAATTTGGGTTTGAGCCTGAAATAAACTGTAGGAGGCAAGTGAAACGCATCCTTCCTCCGTGGCTTAGGGAACACAAACTGCACGCAGAGTTGGCCTTTGGGATGCAGGACTAGCGTGGGAGTGCTGGGGCTGGAGTCCGTGTTCTCCAGAGGTGCTGGGTCAGGCCCGAGGTCTCCAGGAGCCTTTGGGGTCCAGGGCCTGGGCTCTGGCAATCTGGCTGGCCTCCTGAGCTGCCGCGCATTAACTGGAAGCGGGTTCTGACAGCACACACAGACCCAGCCACGTGCCCGTGACACCAGCAGGAGAGCCGGACTGGGCCCGATCACAGCAGGCTGCTGGGAATTTCGCAGAGTGCCCAAACAAAAGGAGGGTCACCCGGTATCCAAGAGGGCCTAGACCCTGTTTTTCCAAAGTAAGTTCTGAGAAACCCTGAATCTCCTGGATGCCAGTGGGTCTTTGAAAGGAAGGGGTGTCTCCGGGTCTTTGAAAGGAAGGGGTGTCTCCGTGTAGTAAGCTGGGGGAGTGCCGGGTCAGACAGCATCGAACAGGTGTCTGTACTTGTCTGTAGAGACTTTAATAGCTGACATAGATGGTGAATCTCCAAGAAGAGGCAGCACATCTGCTCACAGAGAGTCTTCTGGAACTAATAGTCTAGAAAACAAACTTCAGGGAACCTTAATCTAGTCCAGTCTCCTCTTTCACTAAGAAAAGCAGAAGCCCAGAGATCTACAGAGATTTGCTTGGGGCTGCCCAGCTCCTTGGTGCAAAGCCAAGACCAGAGCCAGAGCTTGAGCTTTTCCTAGTGTACCTCTCAATCCAGAGCATCATGGGAAATCCAATCTGGGCCACAGTCCAGGAAACTGTGGAGCCCCAGTAAAGAAAAGTCTCAGCTTTACCCTTTCAGCCCTTTATAACCAAGTGATTTATATATTGCATGACTCTGCGTGCAGCAGCCTGGAGGCAGACAGCACATTCTTATGAAGGATAATCCAACTGATAACCTCTCCCCCAAGACCCACAGGCCTCTCTGAGTCACGTTCCCAAGAAATGGAAAACCATGGAAGCAGACTAGAAGGCAGATCTAGGGTGGCAATTCCTCTGAAGTCAGTGAAAGAGCCACCCACGGCCCCTCAGGAAGGCTCTGAGCCTGCTCACCAGGCCCCAAAGTGAGTCATGCCTCCTTGCTCAGAAGCCCCAGGTGAGATGACTGACCAAGCAAGGTTGCTCTCCCACAGGTAGAGCAGAAAGCCACGATCTGGGGGTTGAAGGCTGCAGAGGTGCCAGTCAAAGATTCCGTCCTTCCCTGCCCCCATCTCCTGCAGTCTGTTCATGTCCTGTTTAGAAACCCTACTGTGGATTTGGGAAGCACACTGGACTGAATGGAACTGAGTGCCTCTGGATTAAGACATGGTGCTCCTGAGACTCTGGGCCATTTTATCAAGAGAGGTGACACTCTTAAGCAGTTACCCAGCTGATTCACTTATTAAGCACCTCAGCACAGTCCTAAGTGGCTATGGCTCAAAATAGGAAATTGTTGATAAGGAGGCCGTATGAAGCAGGGCTGGCAGAAGAGAGGGTCCAGGGCAGTGTGGGGTCACGGGGTGGGACCTGGCACCTTCAGGGCATGTGATGGCAGTGAGGCCACTGAAGATAAACCTCCCCTGCTCAGGGTCCGGTCTGCCCTGGTGCTGCTCCTGTGACCGGACAGAGCCTGGGGAGGGGAGGGCAGGAAGCATGTGAAGGGCACTGCCTCCTGGGATCTTGGCCCAAGCATCTCTCACCAGCAACTCATAAACAGCCAGGCTGGATGCCACCTGGGTCACACAGCCCGTCCCCAGAAGCAGAGAAAAGGCTGCGCTCAGAGGCAGCGTCCACCCCAGGGCTTTGGGGT